TATATATATAAATTAATAATATGGCTTCTTTATGAATATGTAAAGATTAGGACTTTTTCTTAGTTATCAATCTAATTTTAAAAACTTTTGTTTGCGAACACAGAATTAATTCCGACATAAAGAACTCTAGAACCTTTTTCGCATCAGGCCATCTTTAGTAATCTGCCACTGATCATTGATAATTAAAAAATTAAGATATATATAAGTACCATGTAAAATAATGATTTTTATTTTTAAATCAAATTGTAATATTACATTTACCTTTATTTATCGTTAATAATTATATTTAAAAACAATTAATGTAAGTTATATATATGCAAACTAAGTTTTACAGGATACATCAATTATGTGCCTAATACTATGTTCAGATGAAAAGTAGTTATGGAGGTTAAGTCTTAAACTAATTGTTTAAGTCGCAATTTTCCATCCACATCATTTCTTGGTCTAAGTACTTTTATGTACAAGATTCATTTAAATATTAGATTTTATTTTTATATAAATTGTGATTAGACTGTTGTGTTGTATGTTGAAAATAATTTTGGTGTAAACATTTTACATGCCACATACATTAAATTTAAGTTAAGATCTTTTTATTCATTTTCAGACAAAAACAAATGAAAAGAAAAACGCATTTATCATTCTTACCTCTATGAATAAAAATAAATGTAAACATGAGAAAAATAAATAAAAAAAAGGCAGCGCCACAACGTTTTTATATTTATGCATAAAAATCAATGTAAACATAACTGAATGGTATATGTATGTATGTATATGATTTATATAAACAAAACTTAATGAATAAATTGCATAGGAATAAAATTTTAATATAATTGGAAGACAATTTATTTAATATATAATGAGAAATATATATTGTAATATATGTAACTTGTTCATAGCTATTAAAATAAGCGTAGCTGGTGGACAAGAGATACTCTATATTCTAATACTATTTGTGCGTCCATGCAGTTAATACTTGTACTCTTGCCGAGATTGATTCGTTATAATTTAGATTATGAATATCAGAAACAAGACTCGCGAATTTGGAGTTTTAAATTAAATATAATTTCATGTATTATTAGTTAACTCTCTTGGTTTTTGATTTTATTTATCCATTTCAATTTCGTAAATATGTGAAAAATCTTTCTGCATATTAGATCCGTAATATTTTCGCTTGTAGTTCCAAAGTATATAATTGATTTTAATATAAAAAAAATTATTTCCGTAAATCTCTATAGAATTATTAATGCCACAATTAAATGAATGTTGCTATCCTTTTTTGTAATTTGCTATTGCATCATTTGTAAAAATCGATTTTCCTCTAGCAAAGACGTAAGAGATGTTGTCATATCATTAATAATCATATTTGAATTGGGGTGAGTGCTGCTGGTGACATCTGGTTGCATAGTTGATATGTCTAACCAGTTTTGGCAGTTCTGTACATATTCCAAAGTACGTTGATATGTATCAGAATTCATCGTTTCTCGATTAGAACTGAAGCACATATTAAAATTATTAGTAGTAGATAATGCTAAAGCAGTAGTGTTAAGATGTGTAGAATGATTAAAGGCACTCGGATCATTTATTTGATTTACGTTTTCTGTTTTATTGAAGTCAATTTTTATTGTTTCTGCAGCTAAATTTTTAGTTAACGGAGCTGGAGATACCTGAGACTGACTTATGTCACCACATTGAATTTCTTCTTGAGTATTATTATGTACTGTTTGTCCCGGTAAGTGAACTGTTTGCTTTACAATCATTTTCTCTTTTTCCGGACCTTTGTTTTGATGATTTTGAATGGAAAACTCTATACCATTAACGTCATTACAATTAACTTCCATCAAACTGGTCATAGAACAGTCAGTGTCAGTTGTTGAAACTTTTTGCTGTTGAGTTTGTTGTTGGTTTTTGTTAATACTTGAAAGAGGCTTTGCAGATCTTTGTAAAATAAGTTTTTGATTGTTAAATTGGTCATTATTGATTTGCGATGGAGCGGTACATATTTCATACTTGCATTGACTGTAGGAGTTATTAATAGTAGAAATTGAGGTGGAATGTTGAGCAGCATCCGAAGGAAAATTTTTTGCTTGAGTGAATTCTGAAACGGCAAGAGCTGGATCTAAAGTACTGACTGGTACAATTGTGTCCACTGGTTTTTCTACTGCAGGCTTATCCGAAACTTCATTTAAATACTGTACCATTTCATCTGGTAAAACTAATTTGTTTTCAATTAGCTCATCTTCCTCTACTTCAGCTAAAGATACTTTTTGATTAGGATGATGCTCCCGTGATGCAGATAGATCATTTTTAGTGGATGCAGTTGCATTTTGACCTCTGACTTGGGTATTATTTGGATTACTGATACATGACAAAGAATCATTTTGTATAGGGGATAAAGCAGTAAACGAAGGCGATGGTGTTTGATTGCTAGCAATATTTGTTGGTGCAGATTGTCTGCGAATGCTTTCTGCACCTGCAACGAAGTTATTTGAGTGCTTGGAATGCAATAAATTCGGTATGGACAAACGACTGTTTTCAAATAGCTGATGGTTTTTTCTACTGTTTGATGAAGCTTGTAATCTCTGAAAATTTGATAAAATTATATGAGACGATGGTGGAGGAGGTAAACTAATGTTATTGGCATTTGACAATAAAACATTTTGATCGATTTCAGCAGCATTTCCACTATTTATAGTTCCTAAACATGTACTTGAGTTAGCATTAGACAACTGACTTGATCGACGAGAACATCCAGGAGAAATAGGATCATAAAACGAGCTCCCTGCACCTGCTGGACGCATTGTTGATATGGTTGATAAGTGTGAACACTGACTACTACGACGGCTCTGCATACTACAATAGTATGTACTAGCGTTTGAAGTTTGGCTATCTCTACGATTAGTGATTTGTTGCGAATGGTGTGTTACGTTATAAATATTATTACAAGGAAACCGCATATGAAGATCATTTAATAAATTATTTTCTTTTAAGGGCAGAAATTTTGAATATGTGGAATCATTATATTTTACTGGAGTGGACATTACTCCGGGTTCCATTTTTAATTCATTAATTCTTTGATTTAGCTCCCCTATTCCTATACCAACATTTCGATTTATTTCTGGAATATTTGTAAGTGGTGAATGAATCATATTACCACTCTTTGCATAGAGACGACTACGGAAGCTACGCTGCCTTGTTGTAGCTACACAATTTGCACCAACACAGTTGCTATGGGATGGAATATTTGTGCTGCCACCAATACCAACATTTATTGTTGTGCGTAAAGTAATTGGTAGATCTGTGGTATCTAAATCATCATCATAAGTCCAGTCTTCGTCATAATTTGAAGAGTTAAGTTCTTCGCGGCCATATATATTTCCTTCGGTACTATGTGTAACAGTTGTATTGTTATCATCATCAGCCAAACGCGTAGCTATATTTTGATGCGATCGGTTGTATTGATTATTATTCAAAGAACTATGTACAGTGTGAACACCTGGTGAATGAGCCTCTGTTTCCGATTTAATACTGGGACTGGATATGCTCATGGTTCTGCCTGAATAAAAGTCATCACTTCTAGGACTAACATCGATTTGATTCTGTTGTTGAGTTTGCTGAAAGTTGGAACCCATATTGCCAATTTTCGCACGTAATTTGCTATTTGAGTAGTTCCCATCGGTATTATTGTTTCCGCTATCATGATTAGATCCTTTATGCTTTTTATTTGCATAAAATTCAGCTCCATGTACTGTTTTAACATGTTTTCGAAGTGAACTAGGATCAGTGTACCGTTTTGTGCATCCAGGAGCTTTACAAACATAAGGTTTCTATTCAGAAAGAACAATAGATATTTAGTTTAACAAATATAGAACAAATTGGTACTCTTGTACATACCTCATTACTGTGGGTTCTGTTTTGATGTTTTGCTCGATCACTTGCATTACTAAATGCTTTGCTGCACCCAGGATATTCACACATATATGGCTTTTCTCCAGTATGTGAACGTAAGTGAGTCTTTAAGTTTTCTAAACGCGAATATGCTTTAAAACAGCCTTCAAACTAAAAGAAAAATAATATTAACCAAATACAATTATTAATAGTTGAACTGTTAAATAAAGTCAAGTTCTCATTATAACCTATTTAAATAATTACACTTACTGTGCATTTATGTGGCTTTTCGCCTGTATGCCTTCGCATGTGAACTACTAGCATATATTGAGCTTTAAATGGCTTTTCCCCACGTGAACATTCATTCCATCCACAAACAAATGCTTTTTTATTGGTTTGGATATGCTCATTATTTATATGTCGTACAAGTTCTTCCTGAGTAGAAAATTCTATGTCACATTCACGCCAATGACAGTTTGTTTCAATAAAGTCTCCAGGTTCATCTTTTATATCAGTCGTATCTGCAGTATGGCATTCATCTGTGGGAGATGTTGTTGTAGTAGTATTACATTGGATATAGTTAGTTGCAAGCGACGAATTCAGAGCCTTTGTACAACGATGTCGACTGTTATTAACGGCCGAGGCACTATCTGCTTCAACTTGTGTTACTTTGTTTGAAGTTGATGAAGGCTGTTCGTTTTTAGACTTAGAAGTAGGTGACTCGTCGAAATTCTGGAAATTAACTTTTTAAGTTTTAAAGAAATTTCAAAAAGCTAATTTAATGTTCAATGTTTGAGGAAGCTTTTTACATATATGTGTTGACAAAGCCTTCTTCAATTTTAAATAATTTTTATTACCATTTGTTGCTTTGAAGCCACATTACTATTGGCGCCATTCGTTCCCTTGTTACACTCTGTCTCATTAAATGCAGCAACTGTGACATTAGCGGTTTGCAACGGACGTATATTATTGTCTGTTTGGAACATATTTGTTCCTAACAATTGATGTGAAGGGAAAAAACCAGCACTTGCTCTTAACAAATGTGCTTGTAGCTGTTGCAAATGTGGAGCCATTGTGCTATGAATAGGGCTAATAGCGCCAGCGGAAAGATGGCCATATGAACCGCTCGCTACACTACCAGTACGGGAACCATTCATAATAGTTGCCAAAGAATTAGGTGAAAATCGTATCATTGAATTTATATCAAATGAATCTGAATAGGGAGAGGATGAAAGTGCACGTTTTCGGCTAATACTCGTACGTAAGCTGCCATTTCGCGAATTATTTAGACGTGCAGTGCCATCAATGCTGAAATGAAACTCTGTACTAGAAAGTGAGTTAACAGCAGCTGCTGCTATTGCAGTTGCTGGATGTAGTTCGCCTATTGGCCCAATGCTGTGTGCTCCAATATAATCGTTAGAATTAATTCCAAGACCTGCTAAAGGAAATGCAGGTGCACAACTTCCATAAGGATCTGGATAAATAAAACACTTAGTTTAATACATCAAGAAAATATTTCATAATATTACCATGGAAAGAAGACGTTGGACTAGAGCGTTGCAAGGAATATAAATGCTCCATATATGGAATTCTATACGCTGGATGAAAATCATGTGGTTGGGTTTGAGGTGATGGAATGCTACTGGGACGCGAGTGATGATGTAATTGGTGGTGTGTATGATGGCTTAAGTTGTGTTGCCTTAAATTTTGCTGTTCGTTTATTACAATATTGTTTTCAGGGACTAAACTATTATTGTTGAGAATGGTGTTGCTTGTGGATATTGTTGGTGCAGTTGGTTGGACTAAGTGAGGTGGTAGAACAGTTGATGCAGCTGCAGCAGCACGTCGAGATGCTAAGAATTGCAGCTCACTGTAACTAAATAACATAAATAAATAAATAGTTTTTGTATTCACAAATTATAGATAATAATATATTTTAGAATCCAGTTTAATTTCATTCAAAAATTTTTATTGACTATGTACTTATACTTACTTGTTATTTATTTAGTGAGTATATAAAGCTATTTCACAAGTTCTTTATAGAATTAATAAATATTACAATTACGAGCACGTATTACTCATTTAAGTAAAGTATCTGATTAGAATTTAAACCGCTTCTTTATGCAAATCCATCGTACGACGTAGTCTCTATAGACTATGCACAATGGCAAAAAACCAAAATAAGGGAATGGATGAATGTGTTGTACTAAATGTATACGTGAAAATATAACTATATCTTACGTCTTACTTTTGTAATTCGACGAAATATATAATATATAATTCTGTTTCAAAAATTTTAATTTAAAACTATATATATCACGCCTATTATTTTACAAAAATAATATATTGTGTTAAAAAACATTACTGATCATATTATGTTTCAAGAATGAAAGTTGTTTTTAGATTATCTCTTGTTTTAGGTGTAGAGGTTATGCTTACAGTTGCACAGTCCCCTCTGCCCGTATGTGAAATCTGTTTTTGGAGCGATCACTGTTTCTTGTACTTTCGGAAGCAAAAAATGTGTATCTGTGTGCGAACGAATATAAAACGCGCCCTACTACATTAGAAATTATGTAAGTAAATCATAAAATGATGTGAGTAAGTATTCTTCGAATTCAGTACAGACTGAACGGAACGAACCAAAAGAGCGTGTATGCACAAATAAACTTGAACATTATGAATTTAATAAAGACATCATAAATTTTTATTTTGCCTGTGCTTATTTCCATTGCTCAGCAAAATTCAAAATTTGGTATATGGAATTTTAAATCATGAATTTGCATCATGCGCTAAGAAATTTAAGCTTCTTTATAAATGCTGCGCAATGTGATTTCTTCATAACTTCGTTCTTAGTTAAGCTGTGTGCGTGTGATGTCCATACTATACGTGCCTCTAGAAATAAAATTTATAGATACATAAAGTCGGAATATTTAATGTTCAACGAACAAAATAAACAAAACATTGTTTTGGCATATACCATCGTGGATAAGGGCACAATAATTGTGAAAAATTGTTCTTTTTTCAAGCCTTCTCAAATTGATTTTCACCCCACAGCACCAGCGAAATCAGAAACGCTCCACCAATTTTATTTTTTAAAGACTTTGAAAGCTTAATGCACGTGTCTTTGTTTGGAATGTTTAAAGTGCTACATGGTCAGCCTACGTGATATCTGACACATCATACTTCCATCCAAAATTGTACCTAATTCTTCTGCCGGCATTTTCCTGTAGTTCAATCTTTTTTCTAAAGTATTCGGCTAAAACAGTAATTCTAGATGATGATTTGTAGGGTTATACTATATACGTCTTAATTAGTTAGAACTAAAACTTAAGTTTCTTCTGTAAGGTTTTTTCTAGTAATAGTAGGAGCTTTTATTCTGTATTTAGCACTTATGTTACACAAAATGCCCCATCAATTTTTGTAATATTTCACTGCATTGATCGCTTGAATCCCGTTCAAGCGTGGTTGAAAATTAATCTCATCTCAGTTTCTTTATATACATATCGCATACTCTACTGTTTTAATCTTTAGTTTTAGATTCAGTAATTTACACCAGTTATGAACGCCCCTCTTATGTTGTCTTTTCTTCCCGAGTTTTTGACGCTTAATAAACAGGGTACAGTGCCTGGAGTTCAAGAAAGCGCGCCGTTTGGATAAAATGAGAATCATAGTTGACAGTCAGCATGTGGCATGCTATCAGAGCTCTCCGAGCACTACCTATATGCTCGGATTCGTATTTATTCTCTTTCAATAAAATGTATTTCAGATACGACGTATCTGATGCATTATTCGCATATTTTTATTGAAAGACCTTATTTGGGGCATCTATATGTCTAGTATTTTTAAATTATTAATTTCGTAATAAATTGTACAATTCAAATATAACTTCTCACAGAGTTTTTACATGAATTCATTAAGATAAATATATCAAAAGGATATAATAGGTAACGTTTACACACGTTTTCTTATAAATATAGCTTGATCATAGAAAGTATATTTAATTAAAAATGAGTACATTTTAGATTTTAATTATTTTTTATAGTACTTGTTAATATTAGTATAATAGCTGCGAAGTTCTAAGCATTGTAACAATTCAATTACGAGTACTTTATATTGCATTATTTTTAAATAATACTACGTAGTGATTGATAAGAGCAAAGAATTTTGGATTACTATTCGTTCTACTTTGCACATCACAGACTATTGACTTTTCTGAAATACTAAATAAAAAAATATCTCCCAATTATATATTGCAATATCAAGCTTTGTCTATCAAATCATTATTCAAATTTATTATCTTTAAATTTCAGTTTAGTGAAAAATTATAGTCCTTATATCTAACGTATAAAGAATAAAATTATGAAGTATTATATATAAAAATTAAAATTAGAATTAATTATAAAAAAGAATAAATGAATCCAAATAAGACAAAATAAGAAGGCATTAAACAATGTTAAAGTTGAATTAAGGTTTAATTGGTTATCACAGAAACTAAAATAGTGATGTAGTGATGTAGATATCTTCGATGTGGTGATCTGTGATAATATTAATGAAGCCAAAAGCAATGTTAAAATATTTATTATAAATAATCAAAGTTTAAAAGTTGTTGAGAACAGAAACTTTTTGGCTTCAAAAAATATTAAAATTTTCTGCAGTAATAGTTAATCATTTTTATAGAATAACAGTCTGTTGTGAAAAATAATCTATATAAAATTCCGTAATAAACTAAGTATTATAGACATATTTATATAAATAAAATAATTATACGTGCACATTCTCAGAGATATGTTAACTTATGTTCGAACATAAGTTAACATGTTCTGATCTTGAGATAAATTAAGCTCCACTCTTGGAGATGCCCTTCCATAAATTTTTTTATGTTTCAGTTTTGCAACCATATTTTCACCGAAGTCCAAAAGGAAAGCGATTAGGATTGCCATAAACGTAGCTACACCCAATTGCTAGTTGGCATTATTTATGGTTACATCAAGAGCGGTAACTGATCGTCTTTGAAATTCTATGTTTCGGTCTTGATTAATGAAAGCCTATGGCAAACGCTTTTGCTTAAGTAAGTCTAACATTAATCCAAGAATGTGAACTTTTTTGTCGTAATAATAATGCCCTAAAATGCTTGTATTAATTATTAGTTGTTGATCTTAAAACCAAAAAAAGTATAACAAAGGTTACATTTGGACCTGCATCAAGTATTTTAATTCAAAGTAAATGCACCGGCTCACATCAACATTAATAATAATGAAGTATGTTTAAATTTAAGGAATATAAAAAAATACAAGTTTTTAATATATATAAAAGCTCCACCGATAACACGCTCGCATACATAAGATATAGTAAATACTACAATTGTAATTGTACTACTCCTATGACGCACAAGTCCAAATACGAACGTTTTAATCCCAACAACTTTAATATACGCCTGCAGTTGCATTAACTGCAGCGAACGCGACGTGCCTTCCAATAAATCTTTGTTAAAGAATTTAAGGTGTATTCATTTTAATGACAGGGCCTTCGATATAAGTCCTGTATTGTTATTTTTCGACACTACCTCCCAGAACTTAATGTGGGTAATTTACGCGACTTATACTTTTCTTAGATGAAGTACCCATTCCTCAAACCTACTCTCCGAAATAACCCTGATTCCCCGTTACCCGTAACAACCATGATATTCGTAAATACTACTACTAAAAGTCGGTGAAGCAAACATTTGTAAGATCTGTCATCGGGACAAGACAAAGATATGTTATATATTTGTTGATATTTTGTATTTTAATAAGAGAGAAGATACTGCCTGTATTGGGCATGTAAACCAGAAAAAAGTATTAATCATACAAATCAATATAGAAAATTGAAATACTTATACTTATTAGTATACTTATATATATTAAAACACCAATATTAATGCTATCCTTATATTGTTAAGACGCATAAATAAAGAACAAAAATTATTATGAAGTCTGTCTAATTGTGTAGATAACAGAATTGCATGTTCACATTTGAATTATTTTTTCATTAGACTGTAAATTAGCGAATGATTGAAAAGTATAATATAAGTTCAAATACATGTAGAACGATGATTTGTAAAATGTTTGTTAAATACTGTAATTCTAAAAACTATTTGAACATAACTAAGTACACCTTTTATATAAAATACAATACTTCTTGCTTAACAAATACCCATTTTTTCGTAAAAACATAATACGAAGTAACAGATTAATTTAAAAAAAGTTAAGCTTTATTTCAATATTTAATATTATGAAGTCAAGAAATTTCACTAACTTATATTTTAGTATGATCTGGTCTGGATCTGGTATTAAATGAAAGGCTAGCATACACTCCTAACCAAATATTACGTGTGTTGCTAAGACCAGGCCATTTCCTACGAATGACAGGTATTAAAAAATGAAGTGTGTGTAATATATATATGAAAATGAATGAGTATGAAACAAACAACACCAAAATTGTCATCTAAGCTAATGGATATAGTTACAGCATTTCATCTATGCTGATGGATATGGTTAAAGTATTTCATATCGTAAAAAATTCTAGGGGATTTACCCAATTATAGATCCAAAAAATATATATTTCTGAAGGTATTCTTGAAGAATGCGACTTTCTTAACAAAGAAAATGTTATAAAAACTTAAACCTAATGAACAAATGAAGTTTCCGGAACCAAAATACATACATGAAGGTATAAAGATCCTTATTATTTTATATAAATAGCATTCATACTATTTACTAAAACTGTCCTGAACGCTATAAGGACAGTTGATGTTCCTCTCCTTATGACAGCTTTAAAACCTTCACATTTAATTGATTTGAGAGTAAAAATACACGCACAATAGATGTTTGGTCGCAGTGCGCAATATCACAACTTTATAATAATACATGTACAAAATCTATAAATATTATTGCATCAAGTCTGTGATACCAACATCAAACATACAAGAAAACTACTCCAATTTTTAAGTAAAGCACTATTTCAGAATTAAATATGGTATAAACCCAAAAAAAGTTTTGGAATTATAAAATATATTAAAATATTGATTAAATGGTGTCTTTGCTATTTAGCTAAAACAAATAAAGAATGGTCGTTACAGATCCAAACAAACACTATTGATTCAAATGTGTGTCCAAACTTTACATCCAAAAAAGCGTTTTACAACAGATCTTCCACCAACATTTGCCTGTTGGAATATCAATTTAAACAAAAAATTCATATGACAGCCTCTTCGCCTTCATAAGAAAGTTTTAAATGGATGGATATGCGAAGTACAGCAAAGCAGATAATTATGCGATGTCATATAGCAATGGACAACACAAAATTATATTTCACATATATGTCATATCTTGAATAAACTCAAATTCGAACATTACAACACGTCTACACTGGCTACAAACTGGCATAATTTTTATGTTCGAATGCAAATGCGTATTATTTCCGAATTTTGCTGCGAACGAAAGTTTGTATGTTTTATTAAAATAGTGGGAATGTATGCAAAAATTTTGCCAAAATCTAGTCAGTGTAGACGCTGGGTTAAATTGAACACTTCAAAT